AACGAGACAATACGGTAGGCCATCGGTATGGTGCACTTCTACTAGTCTAAATTCATCGATATTATTCAAAAAATGTGTTTTTGGCAAAGTAGGAGTCAACCTTTGATGAGGCAAGATGAGATATCTAAGTTCTCAATGCCATTAAAAAAGGTAATTATGTGTTAACTCAAACTTTAGTTTGGTGAGGAGGTGGTAGTAGTAGCAGTAGTAGTAGTGGAGGAGGAGGGGGAGGAGGAGGAGGAGAGAATGTGGTTCTGCTTCCTACTTCATTTCTCATCCTCCGCTTCATGGTCCACATCCTTTCAAGTACGATCAGAGGATGGTTGGGGAATAGACAGTGGTACATCAAGCAATGCCTTTTTTTCAACTTCAACAACCAAAGTATTATTGGATGGAAGCAACTTTGCCCTAAATACTCGCCTTGATGAATAGCGACAATGAGGTTGCCGAGGTGCGCACAAAGCTTTGCACTATCCTACTTGATAGAGGAGACAATCAGCCTTAGGAGTTTACCCTCCCCACTAGAAGAGTCTAGCCTGCAGCTTTTGCATTGAGACATGATTTATGGACTAGTGAAGGATTAATTGAATTACAGACCACAAAAATCAATCCGACCTTTCTGCAATGCAAGTTGCCATCAAGATTTTTGAAAGATAAGCAGAAGAAAAAAGGTGAGACCACATCATTCTTCATTCCTTTGCATGAATCAACTCTCAAAAGTTTTATTTACTTGACCACTTTAAGCCATTACACAACAAAATCAACCTCAAATAGTCTAAATAAATTCAAGATTGGCTCAAATTATCTTTAATAAGCAAATGAAGTAGAGGATGACAATAAGAGAATGTTAAGGAAAAAAAGTAATGAATGCACTACCGTGCACCCGTTAGCTCTGCAAAACACCCATCGCATACACGAAGGGGATCCTTTGAAGCCGATGTTGCCGTCTTTTTGGATGAACACGCCTGGCAAAACACCTTTCCACAGTGTCGACAATGATGCTGTAACAGAGAAGAGAAGTGCACAGATGCCTTCCACTCTCTCCAAACCACCTTGACTGCTAGTCGAAAAATCCATCCAGAAGAACTCGAGATGTTATGCTAGTGGTATTCGCCCCGATCATGGGTTATGCACTACAGCAGTGAATTCAACACTGCTACCTCCTTTCTCCGCTTACTTCCACATTTGAATTAGAAAACGACATACTTTGCGAACACTGATAGAGAAGTCCTTCTGACAATTGGAACAAGACTGTACAGAGTCGTCCGAGATCCATTGGCGGTTCGTCAGTCGATCTTGAGTAATCTGGCATCAACAGAAGCACATATAAAATATTGTTGGAATAGAAATTGACATTATTATCTTTTACCTGAAGAGCCTGATTTTGGCGGCCAAGATCAAGTACTATGCGCTGAAGACCTTCCATCTCGTGATGCGAGGTCTGCAGAGCCGTCTCCATTTGTTTCGACTTTTTCTGATTTTCAATGAGCTGATCCATGAGAGCCTGTTGTTCTGCAAGCGTGGAGTTCAGTCTGGACTCCAGCTCAATGACAATATTTGCATGATTTCGCAACTCCTCATTTTGTGATGCCAATGTAGCGTTCAATTCCACCATTTTTTGTTTTAGAGTCTTTTCAGAGTCAACTAAACAGGTGAGTCGACTCCTCATCTCACTCTAAAGGAAATAATTGGATCAGAAAATGAATCGAGTCTGCAGAAACGGATAAGAGCTGCCCTTTTGAATGGCGGCATGAATCGACCTCCGAGATAGTCCTCGGACAGCCCCACATAGTTGAGACGCATTCTAAGCCTTTCCATGAAACAATCTGTCCATCTGAACGGAGATCCAGTTCAGTACTTGGACAACAATCGAAGTTCACAACGCAGATACAAAGGAATGAAAAAAGGCTAATTTGATAGGCAATAGAACGGCGCCAACGTGAGGAGAAAAGCGACAGGGAACATCTAGATAACAACGCTGGTGAAGAAGACATAGTGTCAATAACAATTATTTATCGTTCCGCGGTTATCACAATCTACGGCCAGATAGAATAGGCTCGACTCGAAATATCGTTTAAATCTCCAACATAAAGCCTAATTCAACACATCTTCACCTTGCAAAGGACACGACACTCGGAATGGCAAAATGTAACACCACTAGACATTGTCTCAAAAGATTACCCCTATCAAGTCTCCAGGAATGATTTTAGACTCACAGAGCTCTCAACATGAGTGAATACAGGATTCACTTAACTTAAGTCAGTTTTGCATGCCTGCATGAAGAAATGGGGAGTTTCACAAGAAAAAGAGGGTCGACATGTGTGGTAAAACGTGTGGATGTGAACCACACTGACCCCACTCACCAGCTCAGCATTCAGCTTAGCATTTGTCGCATTCACTGAGTTGCTCTCCGAGGTCAGGGCATTAATTTGCTTTGTTAGGCAATCACATTCATTGTATTTTGCCTCCTTGTCGCTCATGCACTGTTGCAACTCCTGTTGCAGGGACTAAATAAGGGAGAGAGAAAGGACGAATAGTACCTATAATGTCCCCGGCTTGAAAGATCGCTTCTGCTAAACAAACCTCAATTGCGGCATCCTTTTTTTTGATAGTTTCCTTAGCTCCATCAAGGGAGCTCCGCAGTGTCCTCTCACTACTTCGGATAGCCTTGACAGTCGTCTCCAATCCTACAACTTGCTCCTCCTTCACTTGAGTCTCGAGCAAAAGGTTTGCAGTCTGAGGAAAAGGACAGTAAAGTAGACTTTACTTGCCTAGTTTATCAGTGGGAGACAATCTACGGCAAATACCTTTTCCAAAAGGACCTTATTCTCCTCTCTCAAGTACTTCAGAGTTTTAGCCGAGTCGTCCAAGTTAGCCTTTAGGGAGTCTATTTCCGTTTGAAGTTCAAAAATCAACTGCTGCGAGGTGTCCGACGTTTTAAGCTAAAGGGGGAGCACAATTTCAAATGAAGTATCTGGGTTGTTTTTTAATTCCTTGAGTTTTTTAACAAAAAAAAGACACCTGAGAAGGCCTAATAATAGGCAGGCTTCGTCCTCCATAAAATATGCCAATTCAAAACAAATTAGGAGGAGGAGGAGGAGGAGGAGTTAAGGGGGCAGGGGGACCCA